CAATCTCAGGCCCTCTCTAGGCTTCAGTTTCCTCATTCGCAAAGTACAGTCCATGCTTCCTTAGGCCCTTACCCTCTCGGACAATGTTGACCTTCCTTTTGAAGTCAGACTTGAAGACTGACGGGAGGTGAGGGAAGGCTGCTGTCCGAGGGTGGTTGCTGGGTCTGGAGACCTGAATGTGTGTCTCTCCTGCCCCACGCAGAGCTCCGAGGTAACTGCTCTCGGCTGGGCTGCCAGCATCACTGTGTCCCCACACTCAGCGGGCCCACCTGCTACTGCAACAGCAGCTTCCAGCTGCAGGCAGACGGCAAGACCTGCAAAGGTACGTTAGTGCATGTGCTTGCATGCGTGTGTGTGTGTGCTGCCGGGGCTGGTAGGGTAGGGGAAATGAGAAGGGGGTGCAAAGGGGGAGTTCTAGGCATGATTAGGAACCCTAGCTATTTGCTTCCACCAGACTTTTAAAAATGCATCTTATTATAGGCTGTAGATAAATTTTTTTGTAAAAAATTACAGCATTATAGATACATCTGGTTTCCTTTGCCAGCTTCTTTTCAATTCTGGTCCTTTTCCCATCTCTCTGGAGGTCAGTTCTGCTATCAGTGTGCTAGCTCTCTTTGCAGATACCCACGTGTGCATTTGTGTATGCGGACTCATGGAAAATCTAACGAAAGTGTGTGTATGGTGCCCCTTTTTGCATAAAGAGTACCATACTGTAGGTATCACTTACAGTGTTTTTTGCTCCTCAATCTGTTCCAGAGTTTTTCTCTGTTAATATGTAAAGATCTACCTCATTCTTTTAAAAAACCACTGTGACGTATAATTACTACCACAGTTTACTTGGCCATCTCCCTGTTGATGACTAAGATGTTCCCAATTTTTGTCTGTCTCAAGCAATGCAAACTTTTCTGTTTTAAATTTGCCTCCCTAGAGTCTGCATAAATGCCAGCTTCTCTGGGAAGCCATCCTGGCCGCTCTTAAATCACATCCCTACTACTGGCATTCTCTATTCCCTTTCTCTAGTTTGTTTTTCAGTCCTGGGGGTGGAACCTAGGGCCTTGTGCACAGCAGGCAAATACTCCACTTACTGAGCTATTCCCCGCAGCCCCTCTTGGTCTAACTTTTTTTCAATAGCACCAGTTACTTTTCATGACACTTACACCTCTAAAATACACTACCTTTTGTTTTCTTCAGTGCTATAATAACAATATTTCATTTACTATCCAAGTATAAGTTTCTCAGGACAAAATGTGGGTCTATTTTAAAATTTGCTAGTGTATATCTTCTACCTGCTACGTAGGTGCTCAAGAAATCTTTTCTACAGCTGTTTATGGTGGTACACACCCATCATCCCACTCCTTAGGAGGAGGATCAAAAGTTTGAGGCCAGCCTGGGCAACATACCAAGACCCTATCTCTACAGGGGGTGGAGGGCACTGGGAATATAGGTCAGTGGTTGAGGCATGTTTAGCATGCATGAGGCCCTGGGTTCAATCTCCGGTACTACCACCAAAAAAAAGTTTTCTGAATGAATGGATGACATGTGCACATGTGTGATGCTTCTTCAGAGTAAGTTCTAAGACTAGATTTGCTGGGCAATCAGGTTAGCACGTTTGGTACTATAAGAGATTCTGCCAGACTGTCCTTCAAAGTAGGATGGACGTATGGTGGTGTCTAAGGGCACCCACATTCCTGACCTCACTACCCTGGAAATGACCATACCCTTGTCCTTTCCCTGGCAGACTTTGACGAATGCTCTGTGTATGGCACCTGCAGCCAGCTATGCACCAACACAGACGGTTCCTTCACGTGCAGCTGCGTGGAAGGGTACCTGCTGCAACCTGACAACCGCTCCTGCAAGGCGAAGAATGGTGGGTGGGGCTGCCCGTGACCTCCATGCCAGACACCCTCAGTGCAGTTCCCTGATGGGGAGGGGCCTGAGAAATGCACAGGCCGCAGCTGCACTGACCCTTCTCTGCCCCGTCCTCAGAGCCAGTAGACCGGCCCCCTGTGCTGCTCATCGCCAACTCCCAGAACATCCTGGCTACGTACCTGAGCGGGGCCCAGGTGTCTACCATCACCCCTACCAGCACGCGGCAGACCACAGCCATGGACTTCAGCTATGCCAACGAGACCGTGTGCTGGGTCCACATAGGAGACAGTGCCGCCCAGACACAGCTAAAGTGTGCCCGCATGCCAGGCCTGAAGGGCTTTGTGGATGAGCACACTATCAACATCTCCCTCAGCTTACACCGTGAGTCACCTGCTCTCAGCTCAGAGGGCAAGGGAGGGCAAGGGAGATGTGTGAGAGGGACCCCGGCTGGAACAGGGATCGGGGCTTAGAGAAGATGGTCCCTGTCTGGGGCAGGAGCCCGATTAAGATGTCCCTGACTGAGGCTGAGGCAGGGGCCTGGACACCATGCTGCCGGTTTAGGGCAAGGTCAAAGCTAGTTTTTCTTCCTCTTTGAGCTGTCTCTAGCTGGCCCCTGCATTTCTAGCTCTGGGCTGAGAGCGGTCTCAGAGGACAAGTAAGGATTGAAAGGGCAATGAATGGTCAATCTCTAGAGACCAGAAACTGTCCCTTCTCTAGGATAAGAGAGTGCTGATTAGACCACAGAGGGGCTGACCCACACAGCAAGAGCCAAGGCTAGGGGAAGAAGGAGCTGGAGCCAAGGGAAGCCCTGCTAAGTTACGGCTGAGGGCAGAGGAGCCAGGGCCTTCATTTCCTTTGGGGACATGACCAGAGAGGATTCCTAGCTGCAGGGTAGAAGAAAGGGTGTCACGGGATGGGGCACGTGCATAGTTGAGTGTAGATACACCGCTTGGCACAGTCCTGCTCTTCTCAGATCCCACTACACAAAAAACAAAAAGCCCTAGAGTCAACGTCTGACATCATCACATTTCCATGAAATGCTTCGCAGGTCTGAGAGAAAGAACCTGGCATGTGATTGATTTGCCGCACCTCCCAGGGTAACTTTATGACCCTGCGTAAACCAGAATTTCTTACCTCTGCCTTGGTTTCCTAATTTGCATAGTGGGTTTGAGCTTATCTGTCCAAATCAGATTAACTGAAGTGAAAGCTTGTAGGTAGTTGTATAGAAAGGACCATTCAATCCTAAGATTTAGGATTGTGAACCTTCAGTTTCTCTAGAAAGTCTTTTCTTCTTCTTCTTCTTCTTCTTCTTCTTCTTCTTCTTCTTCTTCTTCTTCTTCTTCTTCTTCTTCTTC